GTGTGATCTTGACTCCTCATCCTTCCTCCCAGGGCTAAGTCTGCAGGAAGCTGCTGCCCAGAAGGTGTATCAGGTGAGAGGAAACAGCAAAGAGGCCAGGTGGGCAAGGAGGGGGACAGATCCACCCAGAGAGATGCAGGAATCGAAAGAGCAAGAGGTGGAGTCAGGATCTAATCTCTCTCTCTCTCTCTCTCTCTCTCTCTCTCTCTCTCTCTCTCTCTGCCAGGTGAACCTGATTGCTTCCCTAGGTACCTGGGATGTGGCAGGGGACGTGGAAGGTGTGACTCTCACTGGAGAGGGACAGCCGAATCTCACCCTTGCCAGCCCAGGCCTGGACAGACTCAACCGGCAGCTGCAACTGGTCACTTACAGCAGTCGAAGTTACCAGGCCAACACAGCAGACACAGGTACGAGGCCTGGGTAGGGCAGGGGCGGGCTGAAAGAACAGAAGGAACCCAATCTGAAGAAAGCTGGTGATAGAGGGTGTGGGAGGGCCTCGGGCCAGTGGCTACAATGGTCGAGAATGTAGCAAGCGGACCAGGGTGCCAGGGATGAGAAAAGGAGCCTTTGTTTATCAGGGGCCAAAACAGGCCAGTGGGAAACCAGAGCCTTGGGCCTGTTCCCGCTTCAGTTCCCAGTCCAGCCCTGAGCCTCCAGGAAGTGACCTATTCCTGGAGCCAGAGGACTCAGGATCCCACCTTCTCGCACCTTTCAGCAAGGTGCACTGCCCTCACAGGTTCTAGCCCAACACTTACCTTGCCAGGCTCCTTTTCTCTTCCTGTTTTTCTCCAAAATTTGGTTTACTGCGTTTTCTCCTACCTTAGGGCCTTTGTATCTGTCATCCTCTCTGCCTAGAATGTTCTTCCCCAAGATTTTTTTTTTTTCATGACTGGCTCCTTCTGGACATTTGTGTCTGTGCTGAGATGACTCGGCTTTGCTTACGGCAGTTTTCCGGACCTCGGCTTCTCTTTAATGCCAGTATTGCCGCAGTAGACTTTCTTATTTACTTAACCTAAAGCCAGGATGGTTACATCCTTGTAGCCTTGCCGTTGTGCAATACAGGCCTTTTATTCTTCTGTGCCTTTCATTTCCTGTACTAAGAATTTATGTAGTGGCATTATCACGTTAATTAAATGGCTTCATCGATTTAGAACACATTTTCAATTGTTTTGTTTTGTTTTTTGAAGCCATCTCATTTCACGTAGCTTTGGCTGGCCTCAAACTCATTATTCAGCCAACTTTGACTCCCGGTCCTCGGGCTTCTACCTCCCAAGTTCCAGGTTTACAGGTGTGTGCCACCACACCAACTGACAGAAAGAATTTAAAGTTGTGTGTGAAGTATAGTGGTCCATGCCTGTAGTCTTACTGCTTGGGAAGCTACAGTAGGAGGGTAGAAAGTTCAAGGGTAGCCTAGGCTACACACACCCACGTGCCCCCCCCGCAATATATTGCATGTAGAAAATTTTAGTAAAGATTAACTTTTAAGCCAAGCTGTGATGGTGCACGCCTATAATCCCAGCACTTGGGAGGCAGAGGCAGGCAGATCTCTGAGTTCGAGGCCAGCCTGGTCTACAAGAGCTAGTTCCAGGACAGGCTCCAAAGCCACAGAGAAACCGTGTCTCGAAAAAAAAAAATTAACTTTTAAACAGTTAGCTTTCATCTAGGCAATGCTCACCTATAATCCCAGCCCTCTGGGATCTGAGGCACGTAGGAGAATTGTCTCAGTGTTGAAGGCAGCCAGTGCTGTGCAGCCCAGCACAGTCAGGGCTCCATAAGCAGGACCCAGCCTCAAGAAGCCAAAAAGGGCGGGGGGGGGGGGGGAACGGGAGGAAGGAAGGAAAGAAAAGAAGAGAAGTTCCATTGTCTTTGTTCCATCTCCTAAACTGTCAACTTCCGGCCAGATGTGTAGCTCAGTCTCGGTGGGTAGTGTGCTTGTCTGGCTGGGGTCAGTCCCAGCATGGTGCAGAACTCTGTAGGATGTCTCATTAGGAGACACTGAGGCAGTCACACCTGTAATCTTATTCAAGCGGAAGAAGAATAGGGCTGGAGATATAAACTTGGTGGCAGAGTGCTTTGGAGCATGCTAGGCTCTAGAGTCAATTCCCATCACCACAGAACAACAAAACACAGGTTCCACAGAAGTCAGAACTGTGTGTTCGTGCCTACCAAGGTCTGGAAAGGCAGAACACAGAATAGGGATTTAAGTATTGGTTTGCTGAAAAGAGAATGTTCTTCTAGCCTTAAGGGCCCAATTCCACGTCCTTTCTTCCCAGTCCGGTTCTCCACCAAGGGACACGAAGCTGCCTTCACCATCCGCATAAGATATCCTCCCCAACCCCGGCTGTACCCACCTTCATCTGTACCCCAGGGAGGTGAGGCTCGCGGGATTAGGGAAGTAAAGAAGGGTTAGCCCTGGGAAGGGCTGCTTTCCCATTTCTCTTTCCCATTTTTTTGCCCTTTCTGCACCCAACCCTGCATCTTGCTTTCAGCCCAGTACAACATCAGTGCTCTGGTTACCATCGCCACCAAGACCTTTCTTCGTTATGAGCGTCTACGGACACTCATTGCCAGTATCCGACGCTTTTACCCCACCGTCACCATAATCATCGCTGACGACAGCGACAAACCGGAGCGCATTAGCGACCCCCACGTGGAGCACTATTTCATGCCCTTCGGCAAGGTGCGCTGCCTGCAGAACTGAACCCGGGCACCAGAGGACTCTGGGAAGGGGGCGTGCCCTCAATCTGCAGCTTGCAGGGTAGTGATTGAGGACCACCTCCCTCAGAAACAAGTGTGTGCCTATTGAAAGAGATCCCGGATCTGGAATTTTGGCTAGCTCATTCGTTCTGCGTTCTTGAAATGGTGCTTAATACCTATAATAATAGAATAAATTGGTAGATGCACGCATGAAATTAAATGTATTTCAAGATCCTTCCCCAAAAGATTCAAGATCTTTAAAAAGAGTGGTGGAAACCTGCGGGCTTTTTTTTTTTTAACAACTTAATTTCCAGTCATGCGTAAGCACTCAAAAATCTAGAGAGGGGCACAGGCTGTTTCGAGGGTCAGGGGAGAGGAAGAAAGACGGCAGAGTTTCCCTGCTTCTACAGACTCCTCAACCATAATACAACTCTCCTAGGGCTGGTTCGCAGGTCGGAACCTGGCGGTGTCCCAAGTAACCACCAAATACGTGCTGTGGGTGGACGACGACTTTGTCTTCACGGCACGCACGCGGCTGGAGAAGCTTGTGGACGTGCTGGAGAGAACGCCCCTGGACCTGGTAGGGAGGGACGCGGAATGTGGGGTGGGAGCGCGGTGCGCCCTCGGGTGATGCCAGTCTGGGGGGGACAATCCTGGGTCCTGTGGTGCTGACGCCTACAGGGAGAGGGCGGGGCGGGGCTGGGAAGCACCTTACTCTGGGAGACCTGGTCCTCACTGGAGCATCCTCTCACCCCCGGCAGGTTGGGGGCGCCGTGCGGGAGATCTCGGGTTTCTCTACCACCTACCGGCAGCTGCTGAGCGTGGAGCCGGGCGCCCCAGGCCTTGGGGACTGCCTTCGGCATAAACGTGGTTTCCACCACGAGCTCGTTGGCTTCCCAAACTGCGTGGTCACCGACGGCGTGGTCAACTTCTTCCTAGCGCGCACAGACAAAGTGCGCGAGGTGGGCTTTGACCCGCGCCTCAACCGGGTGGCACATCTGGGTGAGTGGCGCCGCCTCCTGGCGAGGCCTGGGAAGGACCCGGTGCGGCTCTGGCCCGGGAGCCAAGCTGCCACTCCGCAGCACCCATCCCCCTCCCCCCTCCCGGTGAATGCTAGAGCAGTTTTGGAGGGGGTAGCTGTGTTACTGGGGTCTGCACCTGAGCTTAAAAACAAAACAAAACAGAACAAAAAAAAAACCACTCGAAACTTCCTTCACTATTCTCTGCCTGACATCCCGTGTACTTGTCTCAGACAACACAGCAGCTGGTCGGCCTTGAACTTCCCTTCCGCTGCCAAGGTCACCCTTATTGCTGGCTGCTTCCTCAGGTCCAGACCTACTCAGAGGAGTGAATCCAGTGTTTACTGAAATGAACCCCACTTTACACAAGAGTTAAAGAGACCGAAAGCCGCTAAAGCGTCCTTAGCAACCGAGTTTTTGCACAGCACCCTCTGAGCCACAGAGTTCGGTTCTCCCTAGGAACTGGCTTTTTAGACCCTCAGGAGACTTAACCGTGTGCTCTCTCCACCCTCACCCCAGAATTCTTCCTGGACGGACTTGGTTCCCTTCGTGTTGGCTCCTGCTCTGATATTGTTGTGGATCATGCCTCGAAGGTGAAATTGCCGTGGGTGTCAAAGGATGCGCAGGCAGACACTTACGCCCGCTACCGTTACCCGGGATCGCTGGACCAGAGTCAGGTGGCCAAACATCGTCTGCTCTTCTTCAAACACAGACTACAGTGCATGATCGCTGAGTGATAGCTGACTGGGCCTTCCCATTGTCAGGCTGGGCCTGCCTCCTGGTCCCTGCCAGGAATTCCCAACAACCCCTCCAACTCCTGACCCCTGACCCTCTCTGTCCATCACCCTGATCCCTAACAGGGGCTTGTCCTGGTGACAACCCTTCCTTTCTGCGAGTGACCAGAGGCCTGATGGAGCCATAACCTTCCCCACAGCCAGTGCCAAGTCCTCCCCAAACCCCATTCCTATGGGGCAGGAAATGGGAGGATTCACTTTCCAAGTGCCAAAGAGCCCAGAAGGACTCTAAGACCCTCAAGTGGAAACAACGCTTGCCTCCTGAGGGGGCAGGGAAACTCCTAATGTGCAACCCCAGGGACACACCCCCACCCAGCTCTGGATCCAGCACCGTGTGTCCCAGCTTCAACATACCCCACAGGGAGCACTGTGACCAGAGTTGTGTGGAGCTGGTGAACACATGGTGAACGCCATTTTTCCTTGTGTTTCTGCAGTACTTTGGGCATGGTGGGGCTTGGGAGGGGGACTGATGAGTTCCACAGGCAGACACTTCATGGGCTGCAGACACCCTCGGCTTCATTTTATTGGTTGTATTGGGGTGGGGGGCTCAGGGGCTGTGGCCTTCCTTACACACACACTGTTGGGACCTCTCATATTCCAAGTGACCTTGGTCAGACCCACACTGTACAAATCTTTGGGCCAGTGGGCTTCTGGGGAAGAAAAGAGACAGTTGAGGAATATTTGTTACAGCCGTCCATCTCTGAGACTCGGTGCGCTGGGAGCATCTCAGCCCTTTGGAGACCTTAGTCTTCACCAGTGGTGAAGGGTGTCCATACTCCCTAACTTGTTTGTTTTTTTCAAGACAAGGTCTTTCTATGTATCCCTGGCTGTTCTGGAACTCCCTGTGTAGAGCAGGCTGGCCTCAAACTCATAGAAATCCTCCTGCCTCTGTGTGCTGGGGGATTAAGGGTATGCCCCCCCTTCAATGCTAGTCAGTTTCTCCCTGCTTCCCTCTTGAGCTTCCTCCATCCCATCCCTTCTCCGCATCCCTCCTCCCAGGCTGTCATCATTCAGCCGGTCCTCCCTCCCTGAGCCCAGCACCTCCTGGCTCCTGCCTCACCAGTCTCTCCAGCGCATGTGCGGCTGCATCCTGGACACTCACAAAGAGTTGGTCTGGGGTCATTCTCTCCAGGAGTCCTGCCCGGGTCAAGGTCTCCAGCACCAAGGCTGTGTGGGAAAAGTGTCAGGTACTTGGCCCTCAATCCCTCCCACAAGAGTCCAGTCACAGTCCTCCCTTCCCCCCACTATCCTTCACATCACACACCATTGCACTGAGCCAAGAGGAGACAGATCCCAGCATCCTGGCATCGCCTGGTGAGCTGCAGGAACCAGACAGAGGGGTTAAAACTCAAATCGAGGGCATGCGTGGCATGGCAGGGAGTTTTTCTCAGCTTCCCTGCTCCCTCACCTGTACCACTTCTCTGGCCCCTGCAGCATCCGCAAAGCTGATGCCGCTGAAGTCTAGGACCACCACTCTGATGGGCTCAGCACCTAAGATGGAGAAGGCAGGAGCATCCAGACACCTGTGTGGCTCACGACCGAATCTCCCTCTTTTCACCCCATCTCACCTTTGTCAGGTAGACTACCCAGCTTTGGAGACTGCTTTAAACAGAGAAAAACAAAGTCACCAACTCCAAGTCACAGGCACCAACTTGCAATCTCAAAGACATACTAGGTTCCCAAGCCTAGAGGGTCCACACTCGCCCTTGACCAAAGTTCTCACCTTGCTTCTTTCTCCAAGCCCCAGATGCCACTCCAAGATGTGGCGGAACTGCCCACGGGTTGCGAAGTAGAGTGGTGTTGGATAGCTCAGGATGCAGAGACCTGGGACCTGGAGGAGCTGAAGGGTCTGAGAGTCAGGAGCGTCCTGTGAATCACTCCTCCCTTCTTTGGCTGACCCACCCACCTTACGGCTCTCCCTGAGTGGCCTGTAGAGCTCGGTCCCCTCAGCCAATCCAAGTGCCAGGCACTGCACCCTAGGGAAGAAGCTAGTGTCAGAGTCCCAGCCTTGCCTGGCTTGGCGGTAGTCACCCCCAGAGTATCTATCTCTCTCCCCTCATTTCAACTCTACCCATCTCTACGCTCACCTCTGAGTGCGACAGACCACTGTCATCATAGAGATGACCACGCCCACGGCCAGGCCCAGGTCCACATTCAGGGTCACTACTGCCACCCACGTGACCATCCACACAGCCTGAAGAACATGGGTATGGGTGGGTTTCCCAGGAGAAGCACAGGCTCATGGACAAACATGAGTAAGGATGACCCAGGAGAAAGGAGGCATGGCAGAGGGAGGGGCTTACTTAAGAGTATACACACCAAATATAATGTCAGACCCTGCGTGAATTAGGAGGTCTGGACTGGGGCTGTAATACAGTGGTAGGGAACACTGTTAATATTCATGGGGCTCTGGGTCTAATCTTCAGAACCATCAAAAAAGTGCCCCCAAACACTCAGGTCCTTTTCCTTTTCTCTAACATATGCATGAGGTCTGTGTGTTGGTGGGTGTATGGGTTAAAGAATGTAGGACCAGAATGGTCAGCTTTGGTCCAGGGCAGAAGCCGGGGATGCTGGGGAGCGGCAACCTGGGGTAATGCCATTTCTCACAAAGTCCACGCGGCTGATGTGCCACAGCCGTGGCAGCTCCTGCATCTGGAAGAACATCTGGCGCATGCTGGAGATATTGATGCAAGCCAGGACAGCCTTGAGACAGAGAAGAAGAGGCCTTTGTCCAAAGGCTCTGGAACTCAGCCAGTCCCACTCAAGCACACGGTGTCTCTTTTCCTCCCTACCTTGGGCAGATAGTAGAAGAAGGGCCCCAGCCACAACAGCACTGCCAGGACAACCATACAGGAGAAGAGGCCGGCCAGCTGCAGGGAAAGAAAGAGCCGACAAGGGAGGAAGGGAAACTTCCTCACCTGTGTGGAAGCTGGTCTCCCTGCCCAGCCCGTCTCCTGTCCCTCAGAAGTCTCCCTCCTCCCAAACCTCCTTCCACACATATGCCCTGCCCACCACCCTCTCCATGTTCTGTCAGTCACACTTAGCCCCTCCCCCCAGTTAAATGCCTGTCATTTGCCGACCGCGCCCAGATGTGTGCAGGTCAGCCTCACTATTGAAGTCCATCTCCATCTTAAAATGTCCTCTTGGTGCCGATGACAAGCAGGCTAGTCATCTGCTTAGGTACCAACAAGTAAGGAAAACAAAAAGAGTAGGGGGAGAATCACGTGGCACAATATCTCTTTTTTAGAGGTCTTTATTGAAAATGTCAGAATTTTATATCCTACATTTATAGTTGTGTGTGTGTGTGTGTGTGTAGCAGTGTAAGTGTGTGTAGGGACAACACACCTGTGTCCCGGCTCTTGTAGACATTGACACTGGGTGTCTTCCTCTCTAACTCCTCTGCCACACTGAGGCAGGGTCTCTCCGTTGAACCCAGAGCTCATTGATGCCCAGGGCACCCCATCCCCTGGCTGTCTTCAGGACAAGTCACCAGGCCCATGGAGCTGGGGATTTGAACTCCTGCCCTCATGCTCTGCGGCGAGCACTTTATCCACTGAGCCATCTCCCCATCCAGCATAGTAGTTTCATTTTCAAAGTCTCTGTGTACCTAAGACAGCCTTGAACCCCAGGTCCCCCTGCTTCAGTCAGCCTTCCTAGTTTCTAGAATTCTGTGTATGTAATACAACACACACACATATACATACATACAAATACACATATATGTATATATACATGCACACATATATGTACACACACATATATATGTTTTTTTTAAAAAAAGCTGTGTTTACTTATGTATTCAGTGTTCTGCCTACATTGTATGCCGCAGGCCAGAAGAGGGCACCAGATCTGTGGGCCACCACATGGTTGCTGAGAATTGAACTCACTGAGTCATCCCATAAATTGGGCTTTTGAAACAGGGTTTCTATGTGTAACAGCTCTGGACCAACCAGGCTGGCCTCGAACTCACAGAGATCCACCTGCCTCTGCCTCCCAAGTGCTGGGATCAAACACGTGCCCCCACCTTGAGGCATGTTGTTTATGTTAATTAATCTGAGGCTCCATAGCTTACAGCCTGCAGAGGTCCTTGTGGGACTTCATTGTTGTCTAACCCCCCTCCTTACAACCCCTTCTCTCACGCCCACCCTCTAATATATAGATGCTATTGGAGTATCTGCCTGTTTCCCCACCCTCTGCTGCCATCCCTGTCTAAAAATCCCATCTTTTTCCCTCATCCAAGGGGTCCCTCTTACCTGTGTGTTCCCACCAGCATCCACTAATAAGCTGGTTGTAGCCAATGTGGCCGAGTTGGGAAAGCAAGAGAAGAGAGAAGATATGAGGTTGGAGACACCGTGGGCCAAGAGTTCCTGGAAGGATGCCGTGAAGTCAGGAAGAGAGATGCATAGGCATGGAAGAACAAGGCTAAGGGGTCACTTCTGGAGAAGGCTGGCATCCAGAGTCACACCTGATTGGGGTCAATAGTGTAGCTGTACTTGTCGGCATAGATGGAGGCCAGGGAGGTGGACACGGCAAAAGTAACCAAGGCAATGGGCAGCGAGTCGGCCAGTATCCTGGGCAGCTCATCCAGGGTGGGGAAGAGAGGCTGGGGGAACCTAGAGAGCGAAGGAGCCATGCTAAAGATGGGTTGGTTGTTACGGGAAAACTGAGTAGGAAAAGCAACTGGAATGGGACAAGGGAGGGTGTCGGTGGGAGGAGGAAGAGGTGTCTTTTCTCTCGCTTACCCTCCAGGCAATACTCCCACTACCTGGACGTTGTATCTTGTGTCCAGGGAAGAGGCGAAGCACAGCACAGAGGCCAGAAGCACCTAAGGAAAACAGCACATTAGGGGCTGGAGAGATGACTCAGTGGTTAAGAGCACTGACTACTCTCCCAGAGGTCCTGAGTTCAATTCCCAGCAACCACATGGTGGCTCCCAGCCATCTGTAATGGGATCTGGCGCCCTCTTCTGGCCAGCAAGCATGCAGACAGACAGAACACTGTATACATAATTAGAAAAAAGAAAGAAAGAAAATAGCACATTAGAACCTAGAAAGAGACGGGGCCTTTGGCAGAGTCTAGAAGAACCTCAGCCTGAAAGAGGATCCCAGTGTGGGTCTGGGTGGTCTCAGAATGTTCGAAATGGATGCCTAACAACTCTATCTCACCGACAGCGAAGAAAGGATGTAATGTTTGCCTGGAGAGATAGAGAGACAAAGGATCTAAGAGGAGGTTCTTTGGGAGAGATGGACACAAACGATCCACTTGAGCTGTTCCACGTCTATCTGAGTTACCTGTGGAAAGCGCTGACATTTACACAGGAAGAGAGTTATTTGGGTGGGCAGTGAAAGGGAGAGACAGTGGATCAGAGTGAGGAGAACAGAGAAAGTGAAATGGGAAGGAAGTGGACGTGCAAAAAGGCCCGGAGCGAGCTCGACCGGGGAAGAGAAACAGTATAGGCGAGCAGTTCTGGTGGGTCAGTTGGTCTGGAAGACTCTTGGAAAGTCCAAGTGTCAACAGGACGGCGTGCTTGTGTAACTTCTGTGTATTCCACGAGGGGGCGGCAGCCTCTAGATCCTGCTGGCCGAATAAGTGGGGACACAGCAGAGGGCAGGGACCTAGGATGGCCCTCACCATGACAACTTCTCCAGGAATCGGAGTGCGTAGCCTGTCCCGGAATCTCACGTTCAGCTCCTTGACCGGCACTAGCAACGCCAGACTGAGCGCTGAGATGGTCAGTTCTGCAGGACTGCTCCGGGCCAGGGCGGTGAGCACCGCAGCCAGCGTCTGCAGGCAGGGACCACGAGCAAGGCTAGGTGCCAGAGTTAACCGACTCCGCCGGATTCAACACCAACCCGCCAGACCCAAGCAGCTCTTCTCCCCAGCGCCCTCAGGCAGCACCGTGGTTCCTGACACTCTTTTCCTGCTGCATGCCGTTTTTCCACCCTCCACGCCTCCCCTTTCGAGTTGTCCTTTTCCCCGTGACTCTTTTTCCACTCCCACCTTAAAGAGAGAAAAGCAGCCGATCTGGCGTGGGAGAGACAAACCCAAGAGGCTTGGCAGCTGGGACACCAGCACGTGTAACGCGGCCCCGCTGGTTAACGCCTTGACCACAGGCTCAGATAAAAAGGTAGACAGGACCCCAAGCTGCAGAGCGAACATCGCTAGCTGTGGAGAAGGTAGAGTGGGAAGGGAGTGGCGTGCGATCGCCAACAGACCAGCCAGCTTCCCCACTGCATATCCGCCACGCGGGACCTGAACCCGAGGCGTGTTCCTACCCTTCCCTCCACCCCCCATCCTCAGGCCCAATTGTTGTTTCTGGTTCTCTTCGGTGGATCCATCCCCTAAAGTCAGCACTGAGTCCTCGCTTACCATCAGCGCCCCACTCCCGAAGGCCACAGCCGCTGCCGCCCCAACTCTCCGAGCTTCCAATTGCTCCCTTTCAATTTCACTGAGGTTCCCCGCGAGGGGATCGGGCACCAGCCGCTCGACAACAGAGCCGGTCATGAGACTGAGGACTGCGAAAGTTCCTGCAGCCGTGGGGTCAGACGCGGAGGTTAGCAACGGTGCAGCCTGGGGCAGAGCAGCAACCCAGAATCCCGCAGTTCTAGAGCCTAGGGTGCTGTTGTCTGATCCACTCTCTTAGAAGTGAAGATCTCGGGGGCTGGTACTGCAGCCGGGAACCGGCAGGCAGGGAGGAAAAGAGTGTGCCCCTTGGCAAAAAGTGCCCCCTCCGCAGGCTCTCCGCAGACTGTGCACATCTTTCCCTTCAAGGCCAAATATAACCAAATTTCACAGGGACAAAGAGATTCGTGTAAACTCCCGCCTCTGTATCCACTCCAACAAGCTTGGGATGGGGGTTGGGTGGGGGTTGTGGGAGTCACAGCGTTTGTGCAAAGAGGCTGGGAATGGGATGGGATATCCTCAGAGGGATGGCCGGCAAGTAGGTGAGGGAAGGCGGCAGGGGGAATAGCATCCCAAAGCTTTCAAGTGGCAGTCTTGCCAAGGTATGTTTGGCTCACGCCTTTAATACCAACCAGAGGGAGGCAGAGGCAGGCAGATCTCTGAGATCTCTAGGGAGCCTCAGACCAGCTAAGACTATACGGTGAGATCCTGTTCCCTTCCCGCCCAGCCCCCAGAGCTTCAAACCTCTGACTATTTTCATCTTAAAGAGAAGTCATATCTGGCCACTCACCAGTGGACAGGTGTCTCCCAGTGCCCAGCAAACTGTAGATGAGGACCGGAAAGAAAGAAGTGTAGAGACCAAACACGGGAGGCACTGAGGTCAGGAGGGCAAAAGCCATGCCTAGGGGGAAGAAGAAAAAGTATGTGTACCAGGGGGGGGGGGGCTATAACCTCCAGGTACTGCCCTTTCCCACACTCTTGGACAGGCATCAGATACTATAAAGCAGGACACCACCCAAGGGAACTGAGAGGTTAATGCGCCTCAGTGGGAGGTAGTGAGGCTGACAAGGTCACAGATCCTTGCCCACGTCCTGGGTGGCAGGCTTTGTGCCTCTCTTCAATTCTCTGAGGCGGAACAGAGTCCCAGATGTCTCACAGGATTGCACAGATGAGGACGGGTAGGGGTGGGAATATGATGGAGTCCTACAGTCCTACTCTCAAACTGAACCTCAAATGCCCCCTCTCTGACCCGGCAGGGCTACTAACCCACCACCTCACTGCTCAATTCTCAGCTCCCCATAGCATGGAACCCCAATAGGCTGTAGTCGGGGTCTCTCACCCTGGGGCACGTGCACAACGCCCACGGTCACTCCAGCCACTGCATCTCCCAGCAGCCACGCTCGCCAGCGGTAATGGGGCAGCCAGCGCAGCGGAGGCAGCCGTGCCAGCAGCACGCGCCACGCCCCCGGCCCTGAACAACAGCCAGCTCGCCTCCTCCACAACCCGCACAGCCAGGGTAAGCGGGGCTCGGCTGGTACTTCCGGCTCCTCTGCGCCCCCGTAAAGCTCCTGGAACCGAGCGTGGGTGAGAGGTTCCCTGAACCTAGAGCTCAGCGGAGACTTAAGGTCAGAAACCTCTTCCGAACCTGAGCAGGTCCCAGAGACAAGTGACCCACTCATTTTGTCCGTGGCCCCCTGCAGCATCTCCCGGTCTTAAATACCCTTCTGCGCCCCCCACCCCACCCTCGCTAGTCCTGAGCCCGCCTCCATAAAGCAGGGTCCAATCCGGACCTGTCGAGAGTACTTTCTGGAGTACCTCCTTGGGTCAGGCTTGGGTGGAAAAAGTCCCTATGTTAGGCGCCTCCTCAGACATCCTTAGCCGGATCTGACCGCCTGGAAGCCTGGGGGCCTGCTATGAGGAACGGTAGAGAGATAAGAGACCCACACCAACTTCCAGTGGTCCTCGCCTCTTCAACAGGGGCCCTTTCCACACCGGCACTTTGAGCAACGCTAGCTGGTTTCTTTGGGTCAATGGTCTTTCCTGAGCCCCTGCACACACGCACGGCTGGAATACAATGTTCATCGCCAGTTGGAATTCCCCACCCAAATCCCTTTCCTCATATGGCAAACTGACCCTAAGGAAAGGGTTTTACAACGAGAAAGCAGGTCTTATAAGCCAATATTCAGTGAGCAAGGACAGAGACAGAACCACCCAGCTCTCTGCTAGGGGTGGCTGGACCTGGGTTAGAGGAAATATTGGACTAGTAAGAAATGTTTGTGTTGTTTCTTAGGTGCAGCAAAGCCCTGAGATACTGTTCCTTACATCCAGTTTTATTCTCAAAGCAGGCATTCAACAGTACATGTTTAAATTAAGGGCATGGCACTTGCTGCTGGCATGGCTGTCCCCAGCTGCTTCAACTGCGCCATTGCAGCTGGCATTGGTGGGTCTGGCTGTCCCAGGAGCAGAAAGGGGCCATGCACCCACCGCATGCACCCCTGTGGTCCCTGAAGAGCCCCAAATTCCTGCTGTTTGCTGTCATCCCTCCCCCATTCAAAGACATCTCAGCATCCCCCATCAGTCTGATTCCCCCAGTCCCTGACCCCAAAGCCCAGGGTGGGGTACAGAGAGGGTGGGCCTCTCCTCTTCAATTCCTCCTATTGTTCCCCAGAAATCTTATCTGGGCCTCACGTCCTGTCCCCCCCTTATAGATCCCTCCCCTCATTGTCAGCCAAAGGGGCCTGGGGCCCATGGGGAGGCTCCAGCATCTCCACACCCTCACACCCCAGCAATCCATTGTCTGCCGAGGAAGCCCCAGCTCACGTGACTGAGCCCAGGGGACCGGTGGACACAGTGGACACAGATACATAGGGACCCAAAAGCCATCTGGGTCTCTGTACCCTTGGCTGTCCCTGTCCCAGGGGCTGTGCCAGGAGATGGGAGGGGTGAAGACCTCTTCAGCGCGCCACTCTTAGCTCTGGGCCTAAAGACTCCATTCCTGTTCAGTGTGGACATACCTTCCCCCTTCCCGCAAAGAGGGAGAAGGAGACTCCCGATCCTCTCCACATTCCCAGTCTTCGGCAGGACATGGAAGCCTCAGACAAAGGTACCCTGAACTATTTATTTATTTATTTAATCTATCTATTATCTATTATTTAATTATTTATTTTTACACTGGATATTTTATATACTAGTATCTAGATGTTGGGGGAGGGTAGTAGGAAGTGAGCCTTCTGGTATAGAGTTTGAACCAAAGAATAAATAGAACCCAGAAGGACCAACTAAAGGGGAGAATACATTAAGATAACTTCAGAGTTTTCCCTAAGCCCCAGGTGTGGACTGAGAGATGCTGTAATTAATTGCAGGTGGGAGACAAAGACAGAGGCTCTTTTGACCTTCTATCCTCTTGTTTAGTTATTCACTCTCTAGACCAGGCTGGCCTCGAACTCACAGAGATCTGCCTGCCTCTGCCTCCTGAGTGCTGGGACTGAGGGTTCTGGCTCTGCCCTTCTCACAGATCTCTCCTAGGGTACTTCACCAATCCATTCGCACTGCGGCCTCTCCATCTCCCCACCACCAAGACTGCAGCCTAGCGATGTAACAAAACTTTTATTCACAGGAAACTGGAAAACAAAATCACAACGAAACCAATCATTTCTATCTGGCCCCAGCCCGAGCCCTCCCTCCAAGCCCCTACATATCCTCCGTCTGAGGGATGCATGCATGGAGTAGAGCTGACGGATCCTGCATTCCTTGTGCAGAGCAGAGGCCTTGCAGGTCTAGGCAGGCCCCTCCGTGTTGAGTTCTCCCAGTTTTGCCCATCCTCTCTGGCACATCGCCAGGATTGTCCTCCCGTTCCTCGAGGAACCAGTGGCTGAATCAGCACCATGCCCAAGGCCTTCATCACCTACAGCTCATCTTCATCCAGCTTTGCCAGCCTGGCCTGGCAGGGAGGGGTGCTCAGAGCTGGAAGGGCTGGAGGGTGGCGAGGAGTCTGGGGGTTGTCACTGAGAGCCTGCAGGAAGATTCAAGCCAGAGAATCAACAGAGGCCACCAGTCTACCCTCACCCCTCTTTCCAGGTAAAGCCCCTAGCCAGGCCACCCTCCTCTTGCCCCAGAATTAAAGTGAAGAAGTTAAGGATGTAAAGTAGCAAAGTCACACAAAAGGAAGGTGGGGGAACAAAGGCCCTCCCTTGTACCCTAGTAGTGAACTCTTCCTCATACCTGTATATCCAGGGGTAAGGGTGCTCTGGGCACCTCCCCTTTGGGCAAAAGCAGCAGGGAAGGGAGGGAGCCATTGATGGGTGTGTGCATGCTGACCTGGGCCAGGTCTCCAGGCCGTATCCTCCCAGGGCTCCCTACCCCAGGCCCTCCTGACCGCCCCAGGCTGTTGGTCTGGCTCTCCCGTCTCTGGTACTCAATGGGTGACTGCAATGCTGGGGCAAGGCAAAGAACAGAGATGTATTACAGGAGAGACAGGTTAAGCCCCCTGTTTCTTCTCCCTTCCTCCCATTTGCCTGCCCTCCTAAGTTAGCCAATGTAAAATGCTTGGGACTTTTTAGAGGATGCTGGGTGGATGGAGGAGGGAGAAGTGCCAGGCACAAAGAACCAAGGGTTGGGATTTGGTCCGGGGGGGAAGGGGGTTTCCGGAGGTCAAAAGGCTTTGTGAGCCTACTGCAAAGGGATGATGGGAGCTTCACCATTGAGAAAGTCACGCTGGCTTTCCAGGATCTGGGCCACTTGCTTGATCCAGGCCTGACTGACTGCAGGGTCTGAAGCCTGCAGAACATAGCGCTGGATCCCACCTTCTGGCCCCCTAGAGGTCAGCGCAAAACGGCAAGGGTTGCCTTGGAGGTTGCCCTCCAGTCCTAGACAGCTCACCTAAAGTCGCGATCAGAAACAGTCCTCAGATTCTGCAGGCCCCTCCACCAACCCCAAGAGTCAGACATCCACCGTGAGGCCTCCCTCACCCGTCCCAGCCTACTCCCTTTCTGATGGCCCTCCCCACCTTGATGCTGCTCTTGTACACATAGCCAGGCTGTGTGCCACCTCGACCTCCTCCTCCCAGTGCCTCACTGAAGATGACGATTTGCTCAAACAGGAAGACACGTCTCTCTCGACCCCGGGAAGAAAGCAGACCCCCAGCCTCAGGTTCTGTCACCAAAAATGTGTCCTGGCCCAAGAGCTTCCCCTGAGCTGTCAGTTTTCCCTGAAACCAAAGGACATGGCCTCTGAGAAAGCACAAGAAGGGTCTGAAAAGAGCACCAGCTTCTCCCTCCCCACCCCCACACTCCCAGCTAACCCCGGTGGAGCTGCTCAGAAGGTAATTCCTTATAAGGATCCAGAGTTCTAAGACCTGAGCCCAAGAACTGCGGTTTCCGGCCGGTGCCCATACCTCGAATCCCCGCAGTCTCCCCAGCGACATCATGTCGTCACAGCGCTTGGGCACGAAGCACATGACCTCCACAGCTTGCTAGGATACAGGTGAAGAGCGGCATTGTTGGACAAGCAGAGTCATTACTGGCAAAAAGGCCTCTCCACACATCACCACCCCAGGGGCCTCTCCCTAAAAGCCAGACATCCCGAGCCGCCCAGAGACTGAGGTACCCACAAGCCTAAGAGGACAGGGTGGGTAGATGTCCTGGGAACCTCACCTCCAGCTCTTCAGTATCCATCCCAGCCCTGCTGTAATACTTCAGAAAATCCTAGGACATAAAGAGGAGGCGCTTAGGGAGGCTGTGAGCACATCCACGGAAGCACTTGTTTCCAATCCCCAGGGCACGAGGGATGACCTCTGGAGAGGATTCAGAACCCCAAAGATGACTGAGGAATCACCCGTCCCAGCCAGCCGTGTCCCCTGGGAGAAGGGTGGTCCTGCCCAGCCGGC